AGGCGGTGCAATCATCGTGGATGATTGCACCGCCTTGCCTTTCGAATTGTATCTGTCGCTTTACGTCTTCCTATATCTATTAGCTTTTTCTACCGAGACATAGCATCTTTGTGCTCATCACATTCCTAGCTTGAATACCGCGATCATAACGTGCTGAAATTTCGATAATAGGAGATTAGTTTTACGGTCATTTTTTTACCTAGAGAGAGACTGCCTCCGTATCGGCCCAGAAACGCCTGGATACTAAACATTAGCGACCTCGTGGTAGAAGCTATCTGTTCTTTAACCAGCGCTTTGGATTGGTCCTCATTGCGGGGTCTCATCAGCGCATTCTCATCGCTGGCAAGCACCTCCAGACAAGCGATTACCGCATCTATTTCTTTGGCCGGCCATTTCTTTATCTCGTTGGGAACAACGAACATAAGTTTGTTAAGCTGGCCTCAGGTGTCGTGGAAAGAGGTACTCGGCCATTTCGTGTTCCGTTGGGAATGATTTATCGCTGTGCTTTATCCCACGGTTACCGTATTACGGCCTAAACTCAGTGACATGATGACGACTTTAACTAAGGTATACTGTACAAGGCGCATGATACCTGTAACGGGGTTACACATAACCTATTATGAAAGGGCGGGTCACACAAGATGGTGTGACCGAACAAGGGTGTGGATAACACAATCGGTGTAATCATAGTGTGGCTACACCGTAACAAGAAGCCACTTCGTGGCGGGAGTGCCAGTTCTAGCATATTAATAAAGTATTAAATAAAGGCGGCCCTGCTGCAAATGAAAATGATAAATACAGCTCCAGTTTTGAACGTAGGACTACATTTGGCTTGGACTAAGGTTTTGGGTACTCTTGGAGATAGCTGATTGCGATCTTCTACACTCGTACTGGTTCTATTATAGAACGAAGGTCGGTGACCCTAAGTAAGCTAAGCTTCCTATCATCAAAGAGCTACGGCAGCCCCGCTGCCCTTAGTAGCACTTGTAGTCAATCAACGCCTGACTCATTACGACTGATTCTCTGTGAGGGTAAAGCCATTCACCTATTCGCCTCTGGGCATGCAGGGCGGGCTTAAAGCTGATGTTCCTGCTTGGCCCTGAGGAGTGAGGATTCAGAGCTTTACTGCGACCGTTCTCATCGGGGAATATTTCGGCATCTATGCCGAAACTTTCTATTGATGTGTCGATCATGAGGATCACACCTTTTTCGGGGGCTTGTCTTGTCATTTGTTTGAGTGCACGCAGAACTACTGGTACAAGTATGCTTTGAGGAGAAGACACAGTGAAGTTTCAAGGATTAGGCTTAAGTTCATGTGCTGTGGTTGCACGTGAAGCAGTCCTGTATTAACGGAGTGCCGTAAAGACAAATAAGTGTGAGTCCAAGTGTGGTCCTCATCGTAGTATGTACTGTCGAGTCGTGTGTATACACATTACACGTCTGGTACAATTAGTTGTACGAATTTACATTGAATTGTAAATATTTAATTACCAGAATATAGGTACCATCCGTAAAAACTGGAACGATACAGAGAAGATTAGCATGGCCCCTGCGCAAGGATGACACGCATAAATCGAGAAGTATCGAAATATCGGTATCTAAGAATTGGATTCTATGCACATGTGGGCTACTTACTAGCCGCACGTCAGAAAGTAAAGATTTGTTATCAGACGAGATAGTCAATATAAGAGCCAAACTCGAGTTTTACACTGTTAAGTGTTTATATAATAATAAACACCGCTAATCAGACTACATCAGAATGTGATGACAAAAGATTGTTTTAGTCTCAGTAAAATTAATTTAAACTACACATATCCTTGAAATAGCTTTCAGTAAAGTATTTAGTAAGGTTCGTTCGTTAGTACTTGTCATGTCAAAGCACTTTTGTATCATCTATCTGTCTCGATCGCAAGATATAATTGTGCAACATGTACGATTTAACATCATCATTCCACCATTTGCTCTGATAGCGCAATGGTTTCGCTGAGTGTAGTCCTAAGTTAAATATTACATTTACCTGCACATGATAAGAGATTGGTAAAATCTTGTCATGATTATAAAGAAGAGACCATAAATATCATATGGAACACACCTCCTTCAATGTAACTTACCTCTGTTGACACCAACTTCTTATCTTTGAGCCGAGCATACGACCAGATCATGTATAACCAAGTTTACAAATGGCTCACACAATTACCTAAGAAATTAGCTTATTCTTTGTCCATATAGCTCACTTTGGGATAAGATCCAGCGTATTTTCTATAGCTGAATCGCGGGAATTATCGAGCATGATGATGGCACATGTAAAAGCTGCAATAGCACGAGTCTATCGTCAAGTAGAAGTTGTTCGTAAGACTATTTAGCGAAAGTCGACAAAAAGACAAAATATATTCATATTATCGTTATATTTGTTTGATACATTGACAACAGGGTATGGACGACATTTTTAATAGCTTTTATAGAAACGTGCCTTCGCAATCCAACGGCAGTCGAGCAAATGCTCGACCTGCATCTGTTAGCTTAATTCTGCCTTGACTTTTATGGCTGTCCACCGTCATGATCTTTGCATCGTCTTCGTCTAAAGAATCAGAAAACCGTTTACAATTCTTTCTTGGGACTGAACGACCAGCTTTAGCACGTGTCAGCGCACGCTCTTGACGGATACGCTGTGCATCCTCACAGGAAATAGCCGACGAGTTAATGGCATGTTTCTTTGACTTCATAAGTCGATAGGGCCAGACGATGCCAAGACGTCGGCAATTGCGCTTGATAGTAACTGTAGCAACACCAAGTTGTTGTGCAGCCTCACGTTGTGACATATGAAAATACTTGGCCATCTCCTCCGTGGAAAAGTCGAAAACGATGCGACTTTTCCGAATTCTCTTCGATGGACTGACTACAGGAGGCTTACGGGCTTCACCATAGTTCACAGGGGACAAAATTCGATGCGAAATGTTTGTAGTCGTCATGTTGTGAGCTGATTGATGACCATGCAGCGGGTGCGTGGCAATGAAGGAGCTGGACGATGTGGGATGCATTGACAATGGCAGCATGCTCATTGATATAAGTTTAAGAGTGTGGGATACTGGATAAATTGGTAAATGATTTGTTCCGATCACGAAGTAGTTCTGTCTCGGTGAATCAAGAGTAGGCCAGTGTCTGATTCAAAAGTGATGACATGATGCTCACTGGCACCAATTGGCTAGCTTCTGTCTTTCACCAAGTCTACCTTAGTCTGCAAATGTGACGTACTTGAGCCTATTCAAAGTTATGGGCGATCTTACTGGCGACAAGTGAGCCTTAAACGCGGTACTAGACCCGTTCGATGCTGGGATAAGAAGAATAGAGATATCTGAACAGTCGTACACCGAACTCACATGGTTTGTAGTAACTGTGACTTGATTGGCTTATTCTGTATACCAGTTTGTATAAGTTGAACGCTCTCTCCCTTGTAATGAATGAGTAAGAATTCATTTTGATGGTCATGTTATGTGTCGAATCTATGTAACTTGCGGATACTTCTGTAGCAATATTCTTTTACATAGTTTATGAATAATTGACTAGGCGTCAGTTATCTGACCCGTAATTTTAAGCCTGGAGTGGTACGGTCCAGCTGACGGATAAAGATATTTATTGGGATGCTACATGTACCCACGCATCAAATATTCGCAAGCAACTATGATGGCACCCATCACACATTTCATTTGGATACACATAGACTGGATTTGTTGAAACGCCTTTAAAATTTCACTATAATCTGCATGTGCAGCGATAACAAAAAAATGCTCGCAATTATGATTTAATAGATTGCAGAAGGCTTTCAAGCTGGCAGAGAGCTACTTTCTTCCTGACTCGATTTGTTCATGTCGCGAACAGGCGTGAATTTAAGCGAAACGCAATGGCAAAAGAAATTCAGTAGCCTTCTGAGATAGCCAAAACCCAGTGGAAAGTTTATTCCGAGGTTTTGGTCTATTGAATCGTCTAGTAGCGTATTCACAATGCCTTATTCTGCTGATTTGGATAACTTAACGTACGACTCAAAACCACTCTATATGCATCGTTCAGATGGTGATTTTTTGAATGGCTAAAATCAATAACTCATAAGGCCTCGCGTAGATATACTAAAATGCCGGATCAATGTGGGTAACGAATGTTTCTTGTTAATATACAGCAGATGTAATCTATCCCATCTTTTTTCCAATAACTAGTCAACACTCAATGTCACCAGATCGAGCGCACGAGAGCATTGCACGATTCAATTTAAACTCTAACCATTAACAATGCGACGGTCGTAATATCAACGGTATCTGTTGGACCAACGCTTGTGGGGAATTGACTCATCGTTTTTCACTTGCCGATTCTGACGGACGCTTCTCGCTTTGTATGTCAGCAATGTGTCGCTAATGATCTGTCATTGAACTCAAGCAGTATTCTCAGTTGTTATGTTTGTTTTCAATTTGAAGATATAAACGATGACTTTGAAAGTACTAAGGATAATAAATGGTGTTTTCTTCAGTTCGTTCAGAAGAAGTTTGTCATTGATTGTTTGCAGATACATCATTTGAATCTCACAGGTTGAAAATTGGGATGAATGAAACTTGAAACGGGGTAATTTTCTTCAGTAGCAATGGGTACTTGACAACGTTCCGAGTCTCGGAGCTTAAGCTTGAGCGAATCAAACAGCTCATCGGAAGCATCGTTAGCTTGAGTTAAACAAACGAGTCCGCCATATTCAACGCGAAGGTGCTTTACAGAACAAGCTCTACATCGACAACAACTTACTGATGAGGATGCCGCTGCAGTGTATGCTATTGACCGACAAATTCATGTCGACAAACGCGGTTCCCAAGCTGGGATCAAAAAATGCAGTTTGCTGGCCAGGAGCGCCGCGCTACATGCGGACCAACAAAAGGGAGAGGAACGTGAAAATCAGCGTGAATGTACTCGAGTTAGAAGAAGAGAATATTTTGAAACGAAACGTCTTCGTGACAATCACATATAATCCAACACTATATCGATGAACGATTCTAGGCGAGCTACAAAGCTCTCAAGATCGTTCAGACATTGTGACTCGTGTGTGGCAACAAAATCTCGAAGCCCCTTAAATGATGCAAACAAAGATGTTCCACGTCGACTGGTAGCTTTTATCTACGTGCTAAATATTCGAAGTGCGGACCTCCACTTGCGCACGTTCTGATATTGTGTGAAGATAATAAATTGCGGAGAGAAAGATTTTTTCATATGTAAGGTTCAGCCGAGCTACCGAACTCCTAAATGAACAAGAACCGTAATTAACAGGTCATCAAACTGCACGATCCACGACGCTTGTGCTGCTGCTAAGTCACGTTTCCTTATTTGAAAGATACCCGATGCTAAACGGGGTTTATAGTGACTTTGATAGATATAACTCGTGTTACGACTGATGGCTATCCACTCTACAAGCAAAGCCGACGATGGAGAGAACATTCAAGGTGGAGGGATAAAATTATGACAGTGAAAAAGTTAATCGTATAGGTGTGCCGTACGAGACTCACTTCCATCGAGACTACAATCACCACATTTGATGTGTGGAAGGTCATCGTTATTACTTCTGTTGTACAAAATTTGTATCCAAAGGAGGAATATCTTAGCCAAATGAAATCATTTAATTGTTAGTTAATCACAGATATTGCCTTTGTAAGCGGCAACACACACTCCATGATTCAGCCAAACGTGCATTAAGTTGGGGAGAGAATTGTCGCTTATCATGAACCAGTCGATTTCTAGACGTACAATGTTGATTGCTTCCTTTGAAATGTGGGCCAGTGATGACCTTGATGATTGAGTTGGTGAAAAAATTATGAGCCAGCATTTTTACAAGCTGTCTGTTCAAACGCAAAAAGAAATGCGTTTGACCCTAGACATTTTAGGCAGCTCGTTGACGCATTATTATTCACTAGATATGGGACGTTTCTAACCGCTTTTACTTTTCTGGTGTTGCCAAACACTAATGCCGCGCGGAAGTCTTCGTAATCGCTTCCAATCTAGGTGTGTATAGCCTCTGAAATGCTGCTTTTCGATTGAAGTACTTAAAAAAAACGCTCCACGTTAAAGTGGTCACGCCTTGCTTGTCGGGCAGTGTCGTCGGAGAACAACCCGCCCGGGGCTGACTGTAGTATGCTCTCTTGGCTGTTGCTGCACGTCAATTGTCATCATATTTTGGTTGTAACTGAGTTGAAACAGATCTCATTTCCATTAGTTTAACTCTCAGTAAAATGCATCTTTAGCCTCGTCAAACCATTGCTAGTTATCGTAGCGTCACACGATTCCCCGATATTCTTGTTTCCCAGCTTACTTTTCATGCTGTGGATCTCGTTATAGATACCCGCAAATTTCTATGAGTCCTGGTGAATGTGCGTCCAGCAATGCAAAGTAGGAGTTGTGTATGATGAAGGCTGCATATTTCACGGATTACTTACAAGCTTTGTTAGCTTTTTGTTATCATCTTGGATTACTCCCCAATCGCAGAGATGTAAACTCTTTCTTAAAAGACTTTTGCGGTCTTGGCAAAAGCATTCGGCAAAAGCTAGGTTATAAAGAACACAGTCTAAATCTACACGCTACGAAGTCTCCACTATTTTCTTCAAGCAACTGAATCCGATGTTTGTAAGTTTGACTTGCACCAATTTTACCAATTTGGTACTGGTTCATTACTCGCAAACAGTTTGATTTGCCCGTAATTAGAAAGTTTTGATTACGACTTGCTTCAAGACATTGTGAAAGAATAAGCTTAGCGGAGGAAAACAGCGACGGACGAGAATGTCGAGACTTTTACGGGTGGAGACACTGGGTTAGTATGGCTACTATGACTGACAAACCTTTTTTTAGCATTTGGTACCAAAAGGAAATCGAGATAGAGTGCACGGATTTATCAACTTTGTCCTGTATATTTTCTCATCAGCCCGCTTCTCAGACATCCTGACAAAAGTCCGTTGTTGTAGCTATGACTGATATTGCTTAGTATACCATTCCACTTAACCTTGATGCAGAATGAACTTGCTCAATCGTCAAGCACATCAAGTAAAAGGCTAGCTTGATTGTTTGGTTAATTGCTTCTATAACGCCTTGATATTTCTTTGAGGCTTTTAATAGCTCACTGCAGGACGTATCAAACATTCAAACGAACCCTTCGAAGGAATAGTGCGTGTATTTTTGATGATGTTGAATAGATCCATCTGGTAATTGTACGAGGTACTATAACAAAAGCTATCGACCCTGCTTAACATCATCATATTTACAGACAACCGTTTGCCGGGCCATCCTCACGATAAAGTTGCGGCTGCAATCTATATAAAAATTCGTTGCAGATGAGCAATCCACCTGTCCAGATTTTTTACATAAAGACGGCACGAAATTAATCCGACGCTCGGAAGGATATTCATCAGAATTCCAAATGAAACATTCATTGACAATCCAGTTATTGCTAACGACGAAGACGATGTACAGAATGTTGGCTACGGTTGGTTTGTATCTGATTTTGAAAATTGTTCTTATTAGTGATAGCAGACTGTGTAGATTTTCGTTTCGCCTTCACCACAACCAGTGGCGCTTTAGCCGCCTTCTGGAATGACCATCAACAAGGCACGAGGACAAACGGTGTAGAATTTTGGATCTATCTGAACCTATCATCTCCCTATTTCTCGCATGGATAACTGATTTTTGCTCTTGAGACTTGGTGGTATTGTTCTAGTGTCCGTTGACGAAGGACAAGATACGACATCATCTAATGGAATCTTATTTGCTGACAAATATCAGGTTCAGGTTTATTTTTAAGGAAAGAAACACATATACACTTGCTTATAAAATTTTACGTTGAATTGCATACGCGACCTATTGCAAGATTATTGTACTTCATCAGGATACAATTTATGCTGCAGTATCTACGAAAAGATGATTCAAAGCCGTGTTTTGAGTATACAATGTCAAGCGAGCTGTGCCGTAACGTATGCACTCAACATTATTGGATACTGCTGCTGGCCAGTCTCGATGAAACAATATACTATTCTGCTCAAGCTTGATACACTCATTCAGAACTTTTTGAATGTATTTTGATTAATAGATTAAAAAGCTGGTTTCTGTCATTTCAATATACATTCGGATTAGAAAGCCAAAATAATTCTAATAGCGGCATTAAATGTTCGAATTTATTTATCCAAGACAGCTTTCTGTCAAGACAATAATCAATATAATGCAATAAACGCAATTAATGCTTATTAGAAGATAGACCTTAGTTGTAGAGAAATGTGACGAGCATATTTACAGACGAGGAAAAGTTCCGTTGTGACTTTGCTTGACGGTGTCACGTATTTTTGACTGAAATACGAAGAAAAAGTTGAGACCTTTTCAGTTTTTACGCATACATCAGTATTTGAGAAACGTCGTGCTCGAAGATAAGGTTTCATGACGACAATGGTAAGATATTATAGTATCACGTATTGCAAATCAGTTAAATTCTATACACGCAGATGTACGACTTTTATTAGCAGATAAAAGCTGACATTTAACTTCTAATTCGCATATTAGGAACTTGTGCAATTTACCAAATAGGCCATCCGGAAAAGTATTGAAAGCTGCAGAATGTTAAGTTAGGCATTTTCACCCAGAATTGCCAACTTTACAGATGGAAAGAGCCCGTTAAAACACAGTTAGAAGGCAAGATGATATAGATGAAAATTTGTTTGAGGGCGCCCATGCTTTCAACAATTGCTTTTTTGATGATCTTGAACTGCATTTTACTAAAAGTCTAACTACAAGTTTACTATGAAAATTCGTCATACTTCGCGCCTTCAATAAGGTCAGTACGTGAGTTCGGTTACGCAACACGAAAAGAGTTACATGAAGATGTTTAAACATTGTTTGTTTAAGAAATCTGAAACGAATTTCTGTTAGCTGTTCTCGTTAACGCGACGCGACATCCTATAAGTTTAAAACGCTTACGGAGTGATATTTGAGCACACGACGACTGCCATAAAAGATATTGAAATAGCCATAGGTTATCCTTTAGACAAGTAACCAACCATAAGTGAAAGTATTGCTCTTCCGCACAGCTCGTATAATCTGTCATAGTGTCAACACCATATGAAACAATGTTGTCACTGAGATTTTAGCTTCCAGCCAAATAAGCGTTAAAAGCCAGCTTGACAAACTGGAGTGTTCGCGTCCAGTATTGATCGTTCAGCTTCGAAGAGTCAAGTCCCGCTGGTTCCCTAGTGACCAGTCGTACCGAATTCAAAAGCCGCCATCCACACATTGCTGGTCCATCGTCTGCAACACAAGACTCCCCCCCCCGAAAAAGACAGGCGATGGCGCCAGTTTGTTAAATCAAAGGTCGTTCAAAGCGGCCGACTTGTCTCTTACTTCAACTTTCTTTACCGAGACAGAACCAAGCCGTAGTCGAAACACGTCATTCACAAATTCACTCAGTCATTCCTACTACCTCACCCCGAAAATTCCACTTAGAATGACCATGCCAGATTATCCAGTGAACGTGTCACGATCCAGCACCTTCAACGTCCCTCATCCAATTCACCGCGATCCGCCAGTCTCCTGCTATCAACAGTCGGCCCTCGATATAACCTTCGCATCCGCGAAACCCACGAATTATCTGTGTCCCATGGCATCGCCCACCATGAGTCATAGTGGGACCTGTAAACCTCCTGTAGTTAGCCCTTTCAAGAGGACTCGTAAAAGCCGCATCGTCTTTGATTTCTCCACCGAAGAGATGGCTAAGTACTTTCATATGTCACAGCGTGAGGCTGCACAGCAACTTGGTGTTGCTACGGTTACCATTAAGCGAAATTGCCGACGCCTTGGTATTGTCTGGCCATACCGACTTATGAAATCAAAAAATCGCGTTATTAAGTGCTCTACTATTTTGCGAGAAGACATACAGCGCATTCGTCACACACGTTCGCTTGGACATGCAGAAGCCGGTCGGTCACATTCGATGCATGACCCTAGACGATTATTAGATGCTTGCAACGACGAAGTCGCCGCTAAGGCTATAACCTTGCTCAGTCACAGCCATATTGAGCTCACGCAAGCTGGCCGTGCATTTGCACGACTTCCACTGGACTGCGTTCCTCCTCTCGAATGATGTCTTAGATGTCTTGTTAGTTTTACTTAGATAATTATAATTTCCAAGCAAGTCGATTTCTTGTAGAAATACTAACCATTATCGTAGAATAATTGTTCATGTTTCGAGAACAAACGCAAACCACCGTATCTACAATCTCTTTACAAAAGTTACTGAGATCGTATTCAATATGCAGAGAAAGACAAAGTGTTAACTCGTCAAAGGAGCACAATAAGCATATAGCACAATCTTTCAGATTGTTGCATTTTTACTTGCTGAAGTTGTCAGTTGTTTGCCATTTAGATCAATCCATCATGTAGTTACTGCTAATTCAGAATGTAGCTTGTTATGGTTTGTAAGCGCGAAAGTATAGTTTTGAACGCCCTTGATTACCAACATGAATTCATTTTGAAAGGCCAAATCTAATTTGACGTACGATTGGAGGTGGATTGCGTACGTGGACGACTTGCTCCTAGACTTGTCGACGTTTAAGTGGTTTTGAAGAGAACATTGGTATCAATTTAATTTATTGTGTTCATTTATAGTAATCACTTTGCTAGATTGACATTACTCTAAAACTTACTTGGTGCTTAGAGATTACAAGCATCATTTGTTGAATAAATAGCAATTTTAAGATGCCATTGAGCTGTCACAAGGTATACGAGTATTTGACTCCCACACGTTTACCGCTGAAGAATCAAACATAACACCGCGATGTGCCCAAAATTGATGCAGTTTTCAGTGCACGAAAAAAGCTTCCAAACCTTTTATAGTACCAAAATTGAGGTGTAATTACGGCACAGGAGCGCACAAAGTCTACAACAATGACAAAAGAAAGTTAATTTGGTGATATATCTCCATGCAGACCCATTAATAAATACATATAAATACTTTGTCACGCATAGATATGAATATATTGGCTCAGATGAACAGGACAAATGTTACTGGATCGCTCACATTTGAGGTCTCCTTCGCCTGGTTGGTGGTAGTATCTGCTTTACACTGCGCAATCCAAGACA